CCCCCCCCTCCTAACCACGAACCTGGTTTTAAACCAGTTAAACCTGAAAGTGTTCTTTTTAATGCAAATGTTTAAAATGAAATCATCAGTTGAATATTGTTGAGTATAGGAGGTAAATGCATTATATTCTAAAATATCTGTAAAAAAAGAATTAAGCAAGGAAATATCTATTTTTAGAGAATGGTTTCCTCTATTTGGTTTATTTTGTTGATTGCTGGTGTGTATGCTAGATCACCAATCAGGAGAGTTTTCAGTAAAATTGTTAAAAGCAGAACATAAATATACAAAATTTCAAATTTTTGAAACTTTGATTATTCATAAACCTTCCCATGGGGTCACGTGAGGTCCCAAACAAAATTTGGGCCCGATCGGTTCAGCCGTTTTGACGTTTATTGTATACAAACAGACAGCCAGACAAGCAAAGTATATGTATAGATTAGGCTTTTAGGGTGCTTCGAGCCCATCTTCTATTTCAACTTAATTAATTGTGGCTTTATCTGTTAGCATCTTCTCAGTATAAAACAAAAACAAAAAAGTTTGCGGATTTCATAATATTTTTTCGCTCATTTTCAGAATTTTACAAAATAAAAAAAATTTTAAATACAAATTTTTAAAATTTTATCATTCATAAACCTTCCCTAGGGTCACTCGAGGTCCCACACAAAATTTGGGCCCGATTAGTTCAGCCGTTTTATTGTTTATTGGATACAAACGAACAGACAGACAAGCCAAATTTATTTATAGATGGGCGCCAGAAAATTGCAAGAGGGCTATTTCTTTTAAATCTATAGTACTTATGCTACAGTGGTAGGCGGTTATGTCAATACAACGAAAACCACTTTTTTATTCACGTTTTTATTGTTAACAAGGTTTTATCGAATTACAAGTTTACAAGTAATCAAAAAGAAGCTTTTTTAAATTGCAAGCTTCTCTTGACTTCTAGGTTTATATAAGTATCTATGCTGTTTAACAGCTTGATTTAATCGAAATTGAAATAGCAAATCGTCTTCATTGTGTTAATATAATCGCCTACCAGTGTAGTTTACTGTTTTAAATATTTATTGAAAACTATTTGATCTACAGTGAAGAATGTTTTCGAGCTTTAAATGATTATTTTCAGTGTGTTAATGTGTAAGTATTCAAACTATGTATGACCCTTTCAAAACTTCCCTTAGCCTTTACTCCCTTCCACCATTACTCCCCTTCCCCTTTACTCCCCCATTTGCTCCCCTCCACCTTTACTCCCTCCCCCTTTACACCCCTCCACCTTTACTCCCCTCCTCCTTGACTTCCATACCCTTTACTCCCCTCCCCTTTACTCCCCTCCACCTTTACTCCCCTCCCCCTTTAAGGTTATCAAAATTAAAAATAGCTCGTTTTTCTAATGTTTTTTTCTCCACTGTATTTCAGTGGAAAGGAGGATCTCCAGATAGGAGTGGATTTGAGTGACAAAGAAACGATTATTAAAGATGGATGTTCTTGGTTAACTAAACTAGCGGTAAGTACAGGAAAAGAAAAATTACAGTTTAAGGGAGGGATAGAAAGCCTTGAACCGGAGGGCTCTCAGTTTGCCTATATTCCTCCCACATATACAGATATATCTTCCTTCAATTATACTTTTTTAATTCTAACTTTCTTTACATCTGAAAAGTTTAAAATCTACAAAATGCTTAGCTGCACATTTTTTTAACTTCATATAATAGTCCAACGAACACGAAACACAGCAATCGTACAGATTTAATAACTTACTACTATAGCTGATTTTCAAGCTACTGATCTTGATTTAAACCAATTCTATGGGCCTGGTTTACTGTAATATATTTTGTATTAAAAGAAAATCTAGATGATTTGACAAGTACTATCGGTCAACTTTTATGCAGCTAGATCAAGTTGTACAGTATACATACAGACTACATAAGGCAAAATGGGGCAGTACACTCAATGAATCAGCCCCTTCTAGGGAGATTATAATGTAAAAGCTCTTCTGAATTAAATAATCCCTTTGATGATTAAAAAAGAGAATTCTTTTTTAAAAGAGATTAAATGTAATTGAAAAAAATAACTTTAAGATAAATCTCTTTTCTGTACCTAGGATTGCAGTATACCTGTTGACTGCGTGAGCTCCCAAGAGCAACTGGAAGAACTGGTTTCTGTGCGGACCACGTGGTTAGATTTGTTCCGAGGTGTACCGGGTTGGGATTCCACCACATGCCCTGCTGCCACGTAAATATCTTTTAAAACATTACATCAATTGATTTGGTAAAAAGAATTATCTACAAGTGATCCTAAATCTCCAGAGAACCCATGCTTTTGTAGAAAAAGGGTTAATATGGAGGGTTACTTCTAATTCCTTTTTTAAATCAATTGGGTAGGACATATTTAATCAACCTTCAGGGTGTCCCACAAAACATGACAGTTGGTGAATGGTTTAAAATGTCTTCTTCCATAATTTTTTAAGATGTTTGATACCAAAGAGAATAATAAAAAATATTGTATGGGAGTCATCTTAAAGTAAAATTAATTTCAACGTAAAATATACATATTTGAGTAAAAGATTTTTAAACAAAATAAACTACAAAAAGTCTTTAATATCGAATACAGAAGACATTCAAAACAATTCACCAACTGTCATGTTTCGTGAAACACCTTGTATATAAAAATTATATAATCTGATTCTCCTATAATGCATTTCTTATATTTTCAATGCATACCATTATGAAGGGTTAAAACTAAGCCCCAAAAAACTGTTTCAGCTCCCTTCGTGAAGGTCTGACTAGAATCAATGAATCTGTTGAGTTTGAGGGCACCCCAGAACCAGGAACTGAAAATGACTCTGGAGAAATCGACTCAGACTCAGACGAGGACGACAATTCAGACGAGTCTTATTCGAAATAAAGATAGAGCTACTGGATTTTCACAAAAAATCTAGAAATATGATAATTATACGTTGAAATAATTATTATGGATTGAATAACGTGTCCGTGTATCCGAAAAATTAACGAACACAAAAATGCTATCACACAATTAACATCTTATTAACATGATCTTATTAATAAAATATCATATTTACTGATTTGGGACACCCAGGCCTCATTGAGCCCCCAGACATATTTATATGTTTTCTAATGTTGACCAAGCACCACGGCAGTGCAAACATCTCCGTTGTTATATCGGAGGTTTTTTTACAGTGTCTTTAGTGTAAAGGTATGAGATAATCGTTTGAATTCAAGCGTGATATCTTCAGCTCAGGCTCTCAAGTTTGATTTGAAATCGTGATTTAGAAAACAATAAGTTTAAAGGATCAAAAAGACAAAATAGACCCAAAGTTTTTACCGGAGAAAGGAGTGACGTCACAAGCTTGGCTTGATCGCTCACAAATCTGATTCATTCCTCCGGTATATACAGAGTTTACAAAACGCTCACAATTTATATAAACAAACAGAATATAATAAGTGAAGGAGATTTTTTAAGGATACAGATAACTATGACATCTTTTAACTTCCAAGCGGCATTCGGGGGACTCCAGAATACTCTAGCGGTGTTCGCTGGGGCGTGTGAAACTGGTTTTAAAGAGATAGGAACTGGTGTGAATGCGGCTAACGATAAAATCGAAAAGCTCGAAATTATGATTCAGGATCTAACATCCCTGGTCAAGAACCAACAAGAGAAGATCACCAAGAAGGAGGAGAAGGAGGAAGGGGAAGCACTAATGCTTGAGGTTAGTGGTCAAATAATGATTAAGAGAATCCCGTCCAGGATGAAAGCTACAGCTCACGAAAAACTAAGAGTTGATTCAGCAAATCAATTCGAATGGTTATCAACAACCCCTGAAGGAGAGCATACGACCCTTTGGATCAAGCATGATTCTAAATCTATGGTTAGAAATGCTATTAGAATGAAGTTAAATTGGGAAAGAGAACTACCCCCTAACTCTCGAGACAGAAAAAGTGTATCCAGCATCATTATTGAACAGGTTGCACCAAGATCATTCACACCACTCTTGAGTAAACTCCGATCTAACCTGGTAAGCATGAGAGAGGAAGGTAGAGCATCAACTTCATTTGTGCAAAATATTAGGTATGAAGCCAGCTCTGGTACTCTGGCCTATATATACCAAGAGAGGACTGTTAAGCCAACTAGAGCAACAGTCCTTGGTTACGTAGCCAATCGTCCTTTGGAAGGACGAGAGTTTGAGAACGTTCCCTGGTATGACACCAGGACAGGACAACTACAGGGAAGATTTAATGAGAGACCGGGCGCTGCAGCTGCAAATGGTGCTATAAGAAAAACTGCGCAAAGAAAACCAGACAACAAGCATCCTCAGTTTGCATCAGGTTCAAACAGACAGCCAATTATAGAAAGGGGAGGGAGGGACTCTCAGCATACCTACCCTGAACCTCACAGAGAGCCAGCAACTCCGCATAATTACTATAACAGTAACAGAAACCAACGAAAAATTGACAACATCAACACCAAGGGAAAAGTAACCTCTCGCCCAATACCTAAGTTCCCAATGCCAAAGCTGAAGCTCCAACCTAAGCATGAAGACGACATTAATAAACCAAATACTTGGATCTCTACATCATACCTCCTCATTCAAGATGAAATCACAGAAATGAATACAGCAGTAATATACGGAGAACAAGACGAACCTAACCCAGAAGTAATTACACTCAGAATGCAAATTGACGTATTACAACAGGATAAGTGCCCCATAAGCTTGAAGGAACCCACCAGAGAAAATACCAATAGTCTAATTGAGATCATGAAGAGAGAAATGAACGTCGAGCCAGATTTGTCTCTTTATCATTGGATGTCGGAGCTGCATTCTCATGATCCTAGGAGAAGGATACTTACTCTAGCTCTTAATGAGAAAGACGACATCTCTGCCCAACTGTACAAGCTAGGATCGTCCAAAAGCTCAATAGGAGCTATCAACACCTTGCTCCACAGCATCTGCAGGAGTCTACTCCAATACCAAGCTACTCCCTCCAACTTTCTTCAGATCAAAATGGAAGCAGTATGCAGGATAGAAGAAATCTTTAATGCTATAACATTAAAGATTAATTCTGCTCTCAAAAAGATTAAGGCTGAGGAGAGAGCAGCTGACCCAATAGATCTTGATATTGACGAGGATAACTTCAAGTACAACAGGATGCGCAATTACTTTCTTGAAGTCGGATGCACTGATGGTCAGCTCTTGGATCAGGTAGACACAAAACATAGCGAGTTAACCACCAGATATGGAGTAAACTATGCCGATGCTACTTTGGGCGAGTACATCAATATCTTCCCCTGGAAATTTATTATCGGAAACGAGATGCTCAACAAAGATTACTATGCCATGAAGAATGAACTCAATTTCTTCCATGAAGACGATCCAGCCTCAATTTCTGAAGAAGAGATGGATCAGGATCAGAGCATGAATGCAAAACGTAAGAGATCTCCAAACCCAGAAACCCCAACTAAACCTAATAAACCAGCCAAAACAGCCTCTTCACTGGCAATAGAAAACAGAAAACCAACTCCCATCAAGCCTTTTCCAGCAGAGATATCTAGCCTGGAAATCGACCAAACCAGTAGTGAATATGGCCTAATAGATGGAATATCGAAACTTCACGATATGACAGAGGATGTGAACCTTGATAGAGCAGAGAATGAGGATGACGGGATAGCAGCTCCTCAAGAGCCTCAAGATGTAGAGACAGAGCCGCTAAATAAGGACAACACCACCTTATCCATGAAAGCAGCTTCTGCCCTCTACAATAAAGTCACCGCTGCAAAAGATAAGTTCAAACGTTGAATTCATATTGAAGGAAGTAAAAACTTTTTGTGAAAATGTTTCAAAAATATTGAGAAAATAGTTTTGATAAAATGTGTGCAACTATATCTGTAATGTTCCGATTTTTTTTTCCAAATTTCACTAATTATGTTTTTTATGAGAAAAAAAGTATTCGCTTTTTGCATGCATAAGTTCCTAATTAAAATTATGCAACTTTTAATGATATTTAATCTTTTCCGATTAAACAAAAAATGAAAGAAATAAATCGTTGAATCTTCCATCAATTTTTAAATTCAAAAAAAAAAACTAAATAATCTTTTTTTTCAAATATTTCGAGTGTAAACGCTAAAAAAGCATTTTTATTTTGTTTTTGTTTTTTGACACTAGTATCAAGAGGAAAAACTCCTCAATTATTTTTATTTTTTACATCTATCCACCTTTTTTGAGGAAATAGTTTTAAAAAAAGTGTGCAACTATATCTGTAATGTTCCGATTTGATTTTTTCTAAATTCCACTAGTGTGTGATTTTTATGAGAAAAAAGTATTCACTTTTTTCATTCATAAGTTCCTAATTAAAATTATGCAACTCTAAATTTTGTTTAATCTTTTTCCGATTGAACAAAAAATGAATAAAATTCTTTGAATCTTCCAATTTTTAAATTGAAAAAAATGAAACAATCTTTCTTTCAAATATTTTGAGTGTAAACGCTAAAAAAAAGCATTTTTTATTTTTTGTTTTTTGTTTTAATATTTGTATTGATAGGAAAACTCCTCTATCATTCTTATTTTTTACACCTTTTTCTTTTACAATAAGTAAAAATCTTGCATCTTAAATTATTCAGTTTTTATCTTTATTTAAATTTTTTCCCCTGAGTATAAAATGGATGACCGGGGTGGAGG